GTTTTTTGTGTTTTTTTTATATTATTTTCCATGTTTCAATATTTTTACTTCCATGTCCATCAATGTGCACGCGCGTATGAGTGGTTGGGTTGGCCATGTTGTGTGCCTACAACCCCAAGGTCATGGGTTCTACCTTTGGTGTATACATTTCCTTCTTTTTAGCAACTTGTTTATTTTATTTTAATTATTTCTTGTTTTGTTTTATTTATTTAAAAATAGTTTTAAATATCATAAAAATCCCAAAAAATCATATTCTAATATTTTATTGTGTTAATTTATTTTTCATCACTTTCATTTTATTTTTCCATTTACTTTTATTATTTTTAATTGAATTTACAAATTAATGTGCTTTGTGTATGCTTTGAACTTGTCACGAACTTTGGTGTTTGTTTGCCTACTTTGGTGTTTATTTGCATTGTTTTGCTTGCATTGCATTGTGTGAATCTTAAGAAATGTTGTTTGAGATGTGCTTGTGGTGGTGGCTGCCCCACACTTTTTCCTCCATCTTTTCTTTGGGTATGCATCTTTTCTTTGAATCTCATTTGTTTGCATTGCATATTGACTTGTTCAAGTCAATTTCATTCTTTTCCTATTTCATCTGTGAATTAGTTATTTATTGTTTACTTGGCCTAGTGCCATGATCCCCCTAGGATTCCTAGTTCCTCCGTTTAGGATGGGAGTAGGAGAGACATTAGGTGTTCAATCCTTTGTATGATAACATTAGGATAATTTCATTCTCTTTCATCCCAACTTTAGGAGCATTGTGTATGACAACTTTAGGGTCCAATTTCCCCTTTAGTTTGTGTCTCTCTTCTCATCTCCTAACACTTCAAAACACTTAATAAAGATAATTTGTGTCGTACGCTACAAGCCTTAAGTATTTGAGAAATGATGGTTGGGGGCCTCCTCTCAACTGTCTAGAGTGTTAGCGTATGCCCTTTGGGCGATATGCGATGCATTCGCTCTCGAGTCATAGTCTTTAAGTGCGACATGAGTTTCAAACCATAACTCAATTCACTTCTTGTCTAAAAAAACACAAAAACAAAAACATCAAATCTTTTTATCCTTCGGGATTAATGGAAAATCATTTTCATAAAGAGAGTGTTATTAAGCTTTGGTTCTACCGCAAACAGGTAACGCCTAAGTCTCCAACGGTCAAGCTGCATACACCTAACTGCTAGAACTAAGGTTTAACCCTACTCGGTTTAAAACACTTGAACCAACCAGTGGTCGTGTCAGCTCGAAGTACGTTTGCTCTGATTTCTCGTACCAGACGAGGATACGTAGGCACAAGACGGCGATGTCTTGGCGAGCAACCTTTCCTACCTTCACCCGTAGTTTTCCGAACTACGTTGACTCTGACTTTCCCATTGCACGATAGAATACGTAGGCATAGAGCGGTGATGCTCTATCTAGTCCATTTTCTTTTCTTTTGTCCCCGTGAGCCTGTAGCTTAGATAATTTTACACCCTTTTAGATAGACAACTAGCGTGGATCCCGTCGAGTACGACGGACGTGAGGGGTGCTCATACCTTCTCCTTGCGTAACCGACTCCCAAACCCGAGATATGGTTGCGATGACCTGTCTTATTCCCTTTTTCATAGGTTTTCTCTGATCGTTTCCTTTCCCTCTCGTTGGGATAAATAACGAACGGTGGCGACTCTTCTGTCTTCTGTCGGCCCTCTTCGCAGCGATGCGGCACCTTTGTCATTATTTGATTATTTCGTGAAATACAACATAAAATACCAACATAACACTACAAAATATATAAAATTGACACTAAAACATGTGCAAATCAAGTGAAATAAGTAAGTGATTTTGCGTGTTATCATTTGACATAGTTATTCTTGTTCTACATTAGTAGGCTGCTCTTCCATTACCTTTTGTGTTTCCTTCTCTTGTTCCTCCACAGGTATGTCACTACTTTGTGATTCTCTAACTTCTATGTCACTACTTTTCAAGGAATATCCAGTTCGAGCGAAAATCATTTTTCCCTTTGAAGGATTTTAGAAGTAATATCCTCTTGTTTCTTTAGGATACCTCATAAAGAATTATTTATCAGATTTGAGCTCAAGCATAGTTGAAATTTTTCATTTCATATAAACTTTACAATCCCAATCTTCATGAACGACATAAGTCATCTCTTACCAATTTATATATCATATGGTGTCTTCTTAACAATTTTTAATGAAACATGATTAAGTGTGTAAACTCTTGTCAATAGAGCACTTCCCCAAAAGGATTTTGGAAGATCTATGTGACTCATCATGGATATAATCCTAAACTCTTTTAAATGTGTTAGACGAGGACAAAAATCTATAAAGAGGGGGGGGGGGGGGTTGAATAGATCGCCGATAAAAAAATTCAATTTAAAATTCTGCTTTGAAAAATATTTGTTATGGAAAACAGAATCAATTCTAGATCGACACTCGTTTTTCCGAACTGTTGAAAGAATCAGATATGTGTATAAACTGTAACAAAAGTAAATAAATGAGGGAAAGGTAATCCATATGTTTTACAAATTACGTTTGAACTAAATCACATAATGATAATCAATATCCAATGAAATAGGAAACAAAATATTAGCTAAGACAATTTATCAAACACTTGGTGTGCAATAAGCACCTAGCTGATTTTCCTTTGTGTTGAAAATATGAACAGCCAATTGCAAATGTTTAGATTGCAATTATCTTTAAAAAACAATTTGAATTACTTAAACACAAATTGAATTTTCAGTTTATCAAAATACACACTAAGTGTATTATCATATTGCAAAGAGAGTGAGTGAGTGTGTGTGTGTGTGTGTGTGTGTGTGTGTGTGTGTGTGAGAGAGAGAGAGAGAGAGAGAGAGAGAGAGAGAGAGAGAGAGACCAAGATTTATTTAGGAAGTTTCTCAATTGTCCTCACTATGGGTACACCTGCCCCCAATTCCAAATAGAATTGAGATATGTAATTAACCTTTGCAAGAGTTGTATACAAGAGAAAAACCCCCAAAACTTATGTTTGATGTTGATTCTAACTTCTTCTCTCTCCTTAATCTTAAGAAAGATCAAGTGACCCAGAACTTCCAACTTGATCCCCCGGTTACCATTACTCCTTTGAAAGAACCTCGTTCTCCAAAACTTTCACTCGGTTGAATCCTCGTTGTGAAATCTTGTCTCAAGTCTTTCAATTGATCCTCTGCTACTCCTTTGATAGAAACTCCTTTTTTCAAAACTCCCACTTGGCTGAATCCAAATTGCAAAGAATTGTGCAAAACCCCCCAATCACTCTTGATCTTTGAGTGAAAATCCTAACTGATTTTATCAATGAAACCCCCAAATAATATTTAACTCAATTCGATTACAACAATCCTAAATTAGACCTTATCAATCTAATCTAGATGACACTCAACAAAATTAATTATGTTTAATTGTTGAATGTATGAAGAGGAAAGGTTGAAGATGATGAGAAAATTCTTTGTATTTTCTTGATTTCAATAATGAGAAACGATTTATGAATTCATATTTATATGTATGTGTGTGTGTAAAATAATAACAGACAAAATAAATTTTTAGCAAAAATTACAAGTTTTGTAAAATAGAATATGATGTATTGACTCCAAATTCATATGAGTCAATACATAAGGCTGAGAGTCGCTACATGTTAGGAGTCGATACAAGTGAGACAAAGCTATTTGCTTGCCAAAAACTTTCAGTCGGAGTCGACTCTAAACATGGATAAGTCAACTCATACGCAGCTTGTGTCGACTCAAGGCTCTTATGTAGCGCTACATAGAATGCAAAATTTTTGTTTTAAGAATCCTTCCGTTTGTATCGGCTCATGAGTTGGATGTATCGACCCATGCACCTGCTTTTCTTTGAATGGTACTTTGTTATCTTTCTTAGTAAATAAGATATGCGTGTGTTATATAGTTCATAATCAAAAGAGTCTATTTTTATAGAGTTTGAAAAAGTGTTTCGTGGCCTAAGTGACAATGCTATAGGTAAGTCAGATTTAACTTATTAAATTTCATCCTTTTAATATTGATGTTGTAAATCGACATCTCAAAGATCAAAAACATATCATCCATTATTTATTTGTGCGATAACATAGAATATATTATTCAACATAGTACCACAAATCGACATTAAATTCACTTGTCAACGCATGATTAATCGTTCAATTACGCCCCTATTTCACTTCATCGTGACAGAATTTTAACAGGAAGTTTCTTCACTTGGTGGGAACGTCAATCACACCATAGTCCTCCTTATCGTGAGGCAATTTTATAGCAATTTATTTTTTGCTCCATGCTTTTGTTTTCTATTTTCGCTTTCTTCTCGTCATAATAACATCTATTATGTAAAAATATTGCTGAGTTATCTCATTAGAATAATTTGCTTTGAGACGTGACTTTGAACAATAACCTTAAATCTTGTCATAACATGAAATTTATTCATATAATGTTACTCATAAAATTGGTTAAATTACTCTAAAAATTATTAACTTTTTCAGAAGTGGCTTAAGCCATAAACACCACGGTCAAAAGTTCAGTGATATCCAACAAATCATGATACGGATCCATGTAGTGGTACTTGTTAATTTGTATTACTGCCACATCCAAGATTTATAATCACTCTGTGCGCCACTCCATCCAATAATACGTTATAATCAAAAGCTTTGAAAGCCAAGAAGCTAAACAAAAAGCAATAAAGACACAAGCACTTTCCGTATAAAAGCACGTACAACTATAGACAAATAGTATTATTAGATTGCATATCAAATTTAGCTTAAACATTATACCAATTTGATCATTTGTTGTTATTTACAATACTCCACTATAACCACTTGCATGAAGGTTGTAATAAAACAAATAAAACTATAATATTATACCTAATATATTATAGCTAGTGTGCGACCATAACTCCCCTATATATTGATTGTTATCTATTTAGGATAACATAACAACAACCCTCAAGCTCTAACAAACCAACTCATCAAGTTCCCTAACAAAGAACATGTATGCTTCTACTTCCTTTACTTCTCAACTCCTCCATGAGCTTCTTGTTGAATCTCACACGAGAAGGTTACTCTTCCAAAACCCGGTTGATCATCAATCACTTAAAATCATCTCTCATGTTTTCACAAACAACCACAATTCAACAAACTCGTATTTTGGTGCTCGTGGATTTGATTCAAATGTTGTGATAATAATGGTGGTCCTATTATGCGCGCTTATTTGTTCACTTGTATTAAACTCTATCATAAGGTGTGCCTTGAGGTTTACAAACGCAGCGATCAACAACAATGAGTCTTCTTCGAGTTTGAGCAGTGATGTTTCACCTCAATTAGCCAACAAAGGAGTCACGAAGAAAACTCTCAAGAAATTTCCAACAATGACATATTCGGCTGAGTTGAAACTATCAGGTTTGGATACTGAGTGTGCGATATGTCTCTCGGAGTTTACAAATGGTGAAAAGGTACGCATTTTGCCTAAATGCAACCATGGTTTTCATGTGCTTTGCATTGACAAATGGCTAAAGGAACACTCATCATGCCCCAAGTGTAGACAATGTCTTCTTCAAACTTGTCGAAAGATCGGTGGGTCGCAAGTGCAACCAATTGTGTTGCCGGTGCTAGAAACCATTGTAAGGATCCAACCACTCCAGCAAGAAGCTTTGGAACGTAACTATAGAGAAATATAAACTAATTATAACTACTCTCCCTTAATGCCTTTAGTTATGGTTGGCCAAGAAAGTTCAAATGATGTGAACTACAGTGTGAAACTTTCTTTGGCTTTACTTTGACATCAAATGTAAATACATTAGCTAAAGTTTTGACATAATTATTTTCATAAAGATAATTTTTAATGAAAGAACTCAAATTTAATAATGATCAAAGAGACTAGAAATTATTCTTAAACTGTAATGACCATACTTACTTACAGAGTAGATGATAGTAAAGTAGATAAATTAATCACTCTGAGTAACTTGGTAGAGGTAGTCATTTATGAAGTACGAACACATCTAGAAGTAGGTGTGTCGTGGTGTTCGATATACGTCAGTGTCCGACATTTATATGACACTCGTATGACACATGTCGGAAAAGTTAAAGAAGTTTCGGAAAAATCAGACAAGTGTCCACTAAAAAATGTTGGAATTCAACCACGATCTATGGTGAATTCTTCTCAATATCTTGATCTCAAAATTGTTATGCAATGACAATAAACAAAAACAATAACACGTTTAAAGAAGCAACTACTTCTTTAGTGGATTCAACCGATCTTATAGTGGATGGTGAACCTGGTCGGTGTGATCTCTTCGACCAGGTTCGCCATACAGGTTGCTTGACATGCACAAAGAGAAACAATTATGTATTTTGCTTCGCATGATGACAATACCACTACTGACTCCTTTCTCGAACTCCAAATAACTGGTGCAACACCTAGCATAAACACATAGTCAACTGTGGATTTTCTATCTTCAGCATCACTACACCAACTTGAATCAGTGTTTCCCACTATCTTGAATTCTTTTCCTTCATCAGCTGCACAAAACAAAATGTCGTAGTCGAGAGTTCCTTTCAGATACTTCAGCATCCTCTTCGTCGCTCTTAGGTGTGATACCTTTGGCTTTATCATGAATCTACTTACCATACCCACATTGTATGCTAAGTCAAGTCTTGTGTGACAAATGTATCGAAGTGACCCAATAAGTCTTCTATATTGGGTTGGATCGACATCATCTTCATCTGAATCCTTTGACAGTTGCAATCTGGTCTCAACGGGAGTCGAAGTTGGATTGCAATCTTGCGTCTCAAATCTCTTGAGTATTTCGCTTGCATATTTTCTTTGGTGCATCAACAAACCTCTACTACTCTTGTAGAGTTTAATGCCAAGGAAATATGAGAGATTTCTCAAGTCTTAAATTTCAAACTCCTCACTTAAGCCATGTTTGAAATCTTCGATCTCCTTCTTGCAACTTCCTGTTATCAACAGGTCATCGACGTAGAGACATAGTATACGAAATTCACTATTGTTTCTCCTTACATATATGTTCGAACTGCAGTAAAGCGGCAAGAAGAAAAAATTTAGTTTTGAAGGAATTCCCTCCGGGATTTATATTGTCTCCACGGGGATCGGTGCGAACGAACGCCTTTCAACGGTCTCTACATTTCTAAGCTGGTTATGCAAAAGTTTTGGTTAAAAGATTCACGGAACAATAAATAAAGGCATAAAATATAAAGACAGAAAATATAAAGTAAAGGCCGAAATATAAATGGAGTCTTGTTGGGGTTGGATCTCATCAATTGATAACACGTGCATTCTTCAGATCATGTTAAACACAACTCAATCATTTGTCTAATATCCTCACATATCACCCGCAATAAAGGTCATCTATAACGCAACGTCGAGAAAACAACCGTATTGTCTCATTAGTGATGTCTCACACAACAAAAACACAACACAGAGTATTAAGAACTGATACTCACGCAAATGCTAAGCCTAAATCTATGTCTAGAGTTTAGGACCTAACAGGTAATCATCCTAGATCTAGATCTGAAGAGTACATGTCTATAGAAGTTCAAATCAAAGATAAACAGGTAAACAAAGACGACACCCATATTGGATAAATGATTGTTTTAAATAATACACAATTATTAGAATATGTACATATGCTTAACCCTTTTTACATGTATTCACCTAATCTGCCAAATGGTTGTGAACATCGTTCTTCATCACTATTATCACACACTCGCACAATATCGTATTGATCCTACTCATGCTACTTAATCAACACAATAAAATAGAAGATACAATGAATATCAACTTACAAAACCATGTCAAAAGTTTGTTCATTGGTAGATGAAAATCTTAGATCAAAGATGTGAAAAGGTTTTGTCAAGACCCACAAATAAGCAATCAAAGATAATCAATCAATAGAGAATCCAAACTAGTTCACAAATATATATTAGATGAACTACATAAGGTATCAAAAGATTACATCCAAACCCCAATAAGAGATCAAAGATCTTACCCTCCCTTTTAGACTTTTGTATTTCTCTCTCTAAAATAAACTTGAAATGAAGAAAGATAAGTTCTGATGTAAAAAATATCACCTCTAACCTAAAAAGCAAGAAAAGTACTTATATAGTACGTTCAGGATCTGTCTTGTTCGTACTGCGAATAGATCCTTCGCCTAGCGAACATTAAATTAGGCACCTGAGGTGCCTCTAAACAGTTAAACCGCCCTTGAGAATTATCTAAAATTTGTTGTGCGAGCAATTCTTCGCACTGTGAACCATCTCGCTACAAGTTTGCACAACGAGTTTCAATCTTTTTTCTCTCTGAGTGAACAGTACCCAGTCTCCCAAGGGTCTTCGCTGGCAAGTTCGCTGTGCGAAGTTGGTGATGATTTTTCTGGGGAAGTTCGTTGGGAGCTTCGCACGACGAGTTTTATGATGTTTTTATGTTGTCTTGGTTTCCTTGCCCAATTTTTTGTGTCTTACTCTTCACTTGTTTTGTGCCTAATTCCTGCATAATAGCACATAAATCAAAGCAACCAAGATATTTTCAAACAATGAATCATATCATCGAAAACATAGGTGATTCAATTTAATTCACCTACAAAAAGAATGAAAGATGCCAACATTTGATAGATCAAATAAGCAAAGTTTGGCATCTAAAAATATACTCCATACTCAGTTGTACACTTCACAAATTCCTTCTCCCTTAAGAAGTTGTATATTTTCTTATTCCAAGCTCTTGGAGCTTGCTTAAGTCAATATAGGGCTTTATGTAGCCTGTACACCTTTCTTTCTTCGCCTCGTTTCACATACCTAGCTGGTTGTGCAACATAAACTTCTTCGTCTAAGGGGCCATTAAGGAAATCACATTTCACATACTCATCTAACATGTGTGTCAATATTTCATGTTTGCTACACCAACAACCAACCTGATTGTTTCGATCCTAGCAACAGGTGCAAACACTTCGTCGAAGTTGATTGCTTTCTTCTGTAGAAATCTTTTCGCCACAAGTCTTGCCTTTTGTCGAGTTACTTCTCCTTTCGGCTTCACCTTTACCTTATAAACCCACTTCACATTAATTTCCTTCTTTCCTTGAGGTGATTTGACAAGTGACCAAGTGTTGTTGACTTTGATGGAGTCTAACTCCTCATTCATTGCTTTCACCCACTTCGAATCTTTCAATGTCTCAACTGCATTTACTGGTTTGACATCTGCGCAGAAATCATAATGCACCAGCTCACCCTCTTCATCGACCACATCATCTTATGTAATCACACATTCTTGTAACCTTAGAGGAATATGTCTTGTTCATCGAGGTCTGCTTGGGCATGCTTCATTTCTGACTTGTTCCTGTCGAACTTCTCTTTTGACTTCAATGGATGGTTATTCACAAGATATTCTCACCGAATCATTCTTGATATTCTCAGTCTAATCTCATTCTTTAAGCTCATCTATGATCACGTCCCTGTTGATCATTACCTGCTTATTTACTGGATCGAACAACTTGTAACCTCTAGTCGAATGATATCCTATCAAGATCATCTGATTCAACTTGTCATCAAGCTTCCTTCTCAATTGATATGGCACATGTCTATGTGCTATAGATCCAAACACCTTCAAATGACTGAGGCTAGGCTTGATACAAGACCAACATTCTTTTGGTGTGATTCCTTCAAGCTTCTTCATTGGACATCTGTTTAATATGTATGTTATCATCAAAATCGCTTCTCCCTATAATTCTTTGGATAGATGCTTTCCATTCAACATACTTCTCACCATGTTCATGATGGTTCTGTTCTTTCTTTCTGAAATTTCAATTTGATGTGGTGTGTAGGGTGGCACCACCTCATGCATAATCCCTTCTTTTTCACATAATGCATTGAACTCTTTCGGCATATACTCTTCACCATCATCAGTCCTCAGAATTTTCAACTTTCAACCACTATGTCTTTCGACCATAGGTTTGAATCTGGAAAATACCTCGATCACATAACTTTTCTTCTTGATGAGGTAAGTCCATAAATTTCAACTGAAATCATCTATGAACGTGACAAAGTATCTGTTACTTGCAATCGAATCCACTTAGATTGGACGACATACATTAGAGTATATGACTTCCAGAATTGCCTTCAACTTCCTTCCTGCATCCTTGCTGAAGTTATTCTTGTGTTGTTTCAACTGAACACACTCTTCATAGACTTCACTTGGAATGTCGATTTCAGGTAATCCTGAAGCCATATTTCTTCTCTTTAGCTTTCTGATGTCATTGAAGTTGAGATGGCCTAGTTGAAAATGTCATAACCATTCATCTCTGCTGGCTGCAGTTGCTAGGAACTTATGCTCCATCAAATTGAGTTCAATCTTGAAGGTCCTATTCTAAAACATTTGAGCCTTCAAGATCAACCTATCACCTGCGTCGATAACTCTCATCATTTTGTCTTTGACAACTACCTTATAGTTTTTTTCGATAAGCTATCATTCCTGGAATCTCTCTTGTCTCTTGTTGTGACCATCAACAACATCTCTTCTTCTTCTTCATGTTTCACCAGCTTTGCATCAGTCTCTTGATTATTCTTCTTTTCTGGACAATCACTAAAATAGTGACCATACTTCTGACAATTGTACACTGAATGTGACTTTTGTCAGGCTTTCTACCACCACCTCTTCTACTACCTGTAG